GTGCGCCGCATAATCCAGCGCGAACAGCCCAGCAAGGCAACCCGCTGCCCCCTCGTCCCGGGCGGCCTACGGCCGCCACAGGGACGACGCGCCACGCTGCGCCGGTGGGCGCTGGCGGGCGCGTGGTGTGCGCCGCATAATCCAGCGCGAACAGCCCAGCAAGGCAACCCTCTGCCCCCTCGTCCCGGGCGGCTTACGGCCGCCAGAGGGACGACGCGCCACGCTGCGCTGGTGGGCGCGTGGTGCGCGCCGCATAATCCAGCGTGAACAGAACAGCCCAGCAAGGCAACCCTCTGCCCCCTCGTCTCTCATTGAAAAAGAAAGCTTCGAAACTTCTCCCAGGTATTCTCTTTTAAATGTATGAAAAGCGTATCCACATATGCTCGCCCAGATAGCCCCACAAGAGGAACTTAGCGCGGAACTGCATGAGCATGCCCGGAGCCTCTTACGCAGTTCGGTTGGTTCCCGCATGGTATGAACTGCGTGCGCAGATTTTCATCTTATTTCAAAACATTCGCCCGAAAATCATTCCCGCACTTCAACAAATGTTCTCAAATATGCGGCGAATATTCTCCAACATTCTCCAAATATTCCCCAAAGTATTCGAATATTCTTAAATATTAACAAAACAAAAAAGAAGGAAGACCGTCGCAACGTCTCCGCCAAAAATCTCCGCAAGGGTTTCCCGGGTCTCCTTATCGGTTTCGCTTCGTCATATTCTTCCAAAAGATTGGCCACAAACAGGAGGCCTCATCGGTCTCCGCGTGCCGGCGTTTCGATAAAACCTCGCGCCACACTTTGCGGCGCGCTGCGGCATTTTTTGTCGCAAATAAGAAAAAAGCCAAAGCATATAACAACGAAAAAGCCGCAAAAGCTTCCGCAAAAATCTGCCAGGTTGTTGACCGTTTTGCGAGTCCCTTAGCCGTTTCGAATTCGCGAAGTGTCCCCCCTACCTTAATGGTTTCGACTTTCGTGCGGGTATCGGTTTCGAGGGGCGTCGTCTATGTGCCAGGACCGACGCCACCGGCTCGGCCTCGTGTCGCAGTAGTCTAGCTCTAGAGGCGTCCCGAAGTTAAAACATTGCAGGCATTATCTAGCACGCTGGCAACTTTTCTCCCGCGAAGCCAAGCCGCGCCAGTGAATTTCCCCCAGCGAAGCTTGCACTTTTTGACTCCGCCCCTCCGATGCAAATTATACGGAAGGACATGCTTCCCGAAGTTACTACATTGCAGGCGTTAGCTACTTCGCTGGCAACTTTCCTCGTGCGAAGCCAAGCCACGCCTGTGAATTCCCCGCCGCAAAGCTTGCACTTTTTGCCTCTGCCTTTAGGATGCAAATACGGAAGGGCGTGCTTCTTCGGCGGCATTTTAGTAGCTGGCACTAGTTCAGAGCTATTTTGACTTAGCTACGCTCTAACCCGTCTACGCTCGACCCTTGCTTTTTCTCCCTGGATGGAGATAGACAATATAGACAGGAAAAAGCTACGAAGTATCCAATGCCAGAACTAGGCCTATCATTCCAGCCGCCATAGACTAGAGAAGGTAGCTCGTGCGGTATCTGTTGCGCGATAAGCCTTGCGCTGCGTCGTCATTATTAATCTCCTCCAAGCCCAAAGTAGATTTCTCAGCGCTTGCCTTCTGGGAAAGAGATGGGCTCACTTGGCTGATCTTGCTCATCCGGTCGCGCTTCGCGTGTTCTGCCTTTTCCATCGCTTTAAGACCAGTTGCCTGTAAATCACCGACCGCCTTAGCCTTCCCAGCTTTCTCTTTCAGATCCTTACACACTGACCCCATTTCGAGCTTGTCTCTTTCTTTTGGCTTTGGATTTACCTTAAAGCCTCTCACCTCAAGGAGTTGAATCATATTAACCGCCGCGCGCATCATTTCGCTACGAGCTTCCTCGCCCATCCTAGTAAAATCCTCCCGGGCTTCAAGGATTTCCTTGACCATGTCGGCGCCATCTCTAGGCTTGCGCCCTTTAATTCTTCTGTGACTGCGATATCTCTAAACTGTTAGATAGTGAAGCGATCCCCTCCACACCTTTACGCCGAATGTTTGCCTTCTCTCACTCACTCACTCACCCACTCACTCACCTAGTAGCGCCTTGCTCTCTATCAGGCGCCACTCTTTCCCCGTGCGTCTTTAGTCTGTCGACCTAGCACGAAACTCACCAATTCCGACTGCAAGCCAAATTGTTGACCACCTTGGAGGTTTAAACTTATCTCCAGTGAAAGATAAAAGCATCTAATTGCGAGTCCGCTTCCACTAATGGTATTTCTGTTAGACCAATAGCCCACCTAGTGCGAACACAGAGTAGATTAGAGCGTGGGCCCTTCTTACATCTCAGCCCTCGAATTTCGTGAGAATTTGATAGAAATTCTCCACCTGGTCAGACGTTTGGTCTTTGTTTTTCTATGCTCCTTTTCTCATTTTTAAAAATCTGAAAGGCCGCCTGGCTTTCTCCTTTTTTCCAAGGGTGGAGCTGACGCGTTTAAATTTTGGAGACATTAGGTAGCTTTTTGGTTTTCTGCTGCGTGATTGATGTTAAGAAAAGAAAAGAGCACAGACCATGCCACGACGGCCGGCGCCGATCGCTGTGGCCCTTTGTCTTGTGTGAAGTGATGAGATGTAAAATAATACGACACCGCTCGACCTCGCTCGCGCACTGGGCGTGGACAGGACTGGCACCTTCCTCCGCTGTGCAGTCCTGTCGTGTCTGAGCTGACGCCGAACACTACGCAACAAAGCGCAAAGCCGCAAGTCACAAGACTACACAAGTCGCAGGGCTCCTCTGCTCTCGTGGCTTGGCTTTGCCTTCCCGCATTGCCTGGGGGTTCGATTTTGATGACGCAGCTCTCTGCGTGTTTCATTTGGTTCGCGTTTGAGTTTGGTCAATGCTAGCTCTGGCTTGAGTGATTTTGCTTTTCTTTCTCTTCAAATCCGTTTAGTACTGGACTAAGCGCCTCAGTTGTGTTCGCTTCAGTATAGCATAGCCATAGAATAGCGCTAGCCATGCCGGTGCCGAGTCCTCTCCTCCCCCTTGTCCTCTCTTGTCGTTTCTTATCGTGGTCGCCTCGTGTCGTCGAGGTCGAGGCGGAAGGGGAATCAAGTTCAGCGCTGGCCTCGGGGCCACGCCAGGTGCGTAGCGGTAGCCTTAGGGCAAGGCGGCGTAGCGGTAGCGTACAGAACGAGAACAGGGGCGGGGCCGTTCTCCTCTCCTCTCGTTGTGCTCGTGCTGATCTGAGCAAAGCTAAACTGTGGCCACCCGATCCCATGCCGCCTGGCCTCAGTGTCAGTTCAGCGGGCGGCGCTTGCTCCAAATGGCATGACTTGACGGCCCGAGTACTGCGCAACCCAACAGGGGAGGGCCCCACTCCCAGCCGGTAGAGAGGATAGTATAGAGCAGA